AAAAGCTCCCACCTCCAGGAAAAATTTGTGATCAGAAGGACCACGAGCAGAAGCAATATAAATATAAAAGCAGACAAAAACCACCACTTTGAAACAAAAATAAAACTGTGGCTGACTGTCCAGTAGCCTTGCTACACAGGCAGTGCGTGTGTACTGTAGAAGCCTCCAGCAGTGGGTGGGGGTGTTCGCTCACTCAGGCCCCTCTAGTCACCACCAGTAGAGGTGCGCAGATAAGATATTGAGAAGTTAATGTGAGAGACTGTCTACTATTTTTGGCTCTGAAAGTCAATTAGGTATCTGCATGTGCACAGTGTAATTCTCGAGATAGTTGTGTCCATTTAAGTTGTGGTTTTACAAATTGTTCATGTGATTTGTCTGTCAGGCCAGGTTTTTTTGCTGGATAGGCACAAGTTAACTTTAGGGCTGGGACCCACAGGCTGACATCAGGAACAGCTGCCAAGCTCTTTCTTTCTGTGGTGTGGGAATACTATGGGCTCAAGCGTTGGACTTTTTTGGGGGGAGTGAAGGTGGGGGGTATACACCCAACTGCCTGAAGTCATCCAGGCTAGGCAAAAAAGGCTCAACAGGGAAGAGGAGAAAAATAAATATGTAGAATCCCCTGCATCTCCTGTTGCAAATGTCACTATGCCACTTATAGTGCAGGTTCCCTGTTCTGGTCTGGCTGTAGCCCCGCTCTCTGAACTCAACCTGGGTGGGTAGCCACAGTGGGAATCCCGTCTGAAGCGATTCCTGACTCGTAGTATTTTCCTTTATATCATGGTTTTTTCACTTGAGTGTGCAAGAAACTGATGCTCTGTATCTTGTGCTAGATCCAGAGCTCTGGTGTTGTTCTGTCAGTGCAGCTTCTCTGGGTTTTCAATCCCTCCCCCACAGAACCTTTCCTACCTGGCTGTCTCTCTTGCCCACCAAAACCGGAACCACAGCCAACTGATTTTTGATAAAGTACCTAAATATATTGCATGGGGAGGTGACAGTCTCTTCAACAGATGGTGCTGGCAGAATTGGACAGCAATATACAAAAGATTAAAACAAGACCTTTACCTTACACCTTATATAAAAACCAACTCAGCATGGATTAAAGACCTAAATGTGAATCCCACAATTATGAAGGCCATCAATGAAAAAATAAGGACAAATGTAAGGGCACTAATTCAGGGAATACAAGACTATGAGGACATACTAAAAATTAAAAACTTAATGTGCATCAGAAGACTGTACCAGAAGAGTAAAAAGGGAACCCACAGAATGGGAAAAAATCTTTTGCAACGCACATCAGACAAGGGACTCATTCCTAAAACATATCGGAAACTACAACACCTATACAAGAAAAGGGCAAATAACCCAATTAAAAAATGGGCACTGGACAAGTACAGACACTTCACCAGGGAGGAGATCCAGGCAGCCAACAAACATATGAAGAAATGCTCATGATCACTAGCCATTAGAGAGATGCAAATCAAAACAACAATGAGATATCATCGCACACCAACAATAACAGCAAAGATCAAAAAGTAGAGGACAATAAATGCTGGTAAGAATGTGGAGAGATTGAGACAGTCCTGCATTGCTGGTGGGATTGCAAAATGGTCCAATATCTCTGGAAAGCAATATGGTGTTTCCTCAGGTTGGAAATAAAATACCTATGATCCAGAAATTCAGAAATTCCTCTATTTAGTATTTTACCACAAGAAATACGAGCCATAACATGAGTAGATATATGCACACCAATGTTCATAGCAACACTATTTACAATAGCAAAAAGATGGAGACAGCCTAAGTGCCCATCAACAGAAGAATGGATAAACAACTGTGGTACATACACACAATGGAATACTATGCTACCTTAAAAAATATCAAGGAAGCTGCAAGCCACCACCTAACATGGATGAACCTTGAGGACATTACATTGAGTGAAATTAGTCAGTCACAAAAGGAGAAATATTGCATAGGACCACTACTGTAAAAGACTAAGAAAAAGAACCCATACTAAAGGTGGGGGAGGGGATTCTTTGCTGGTTACCAAGATGTGGGGGGTGGGGTGGGGGGAGGGAGGGGACGGTGGCGCACAGGGTAGGGAATAGACATGGGAAGGAAGGTGGAGCACAGGGTAGGAGATATTATGGTGCTAGGGAGGCGGGCAATATACAAGAAGGGGGAGGGGAACGGAAGAACAAAGCAGATGGGAAAACAATTAGGCAAGTTTGCATGCGCTAACTGGGGGAGAGGTAAATAATGATGTATGCACAACCTTGGAACAGCAGGGCTCTGCGATACAGGGTTTGAGACATGGTTGGAATGGGCAAAAGGGGGGAAATAATGTTAAGATGCTTGGCTGTCATTTGAGTCTTGGTTTCCCTGGCATACCATTATAAAATAGACACTTGAGGGGGAGAGAAATAGCCAGAAATGTCACCATAGAAAGCTTGTAGGTCCACCTCAGCCTATAACTGATTGGAATACCTAAAATGGGGCTACACGTGCCCAGTGAAGGAGGCTTTCTGTGGAGCCTATGCATTACGTAAGACCACAGGTGGAATCCTGAACCTCACCCAGAATCTTCTGAGGTGGCAAATTTCCACTTGAAAGAACAAACAGACCAACCTGGAGGGACTAGAAGAAAAGATACTTCTTGAAAGAAAGACTGACAGGAAAAATACAAAACAATATCCATAGTCCGACTGATTATTACAAGAACAAGCAAGTTGCTCACCCAGGAGGACATCAAGGAAAGTGGTCGGGTTCCCTCAGAGCAAACCCGTTTCCAAGACTAAGACTCAATGGGAATACACGCTCTGATTGGTGACCACATTAATCACTGATAAGGGGAAGTGAGGAAAACAGCAGTGAAGCTGCAAGCTAAGCCCTACAATGTTCAATAGACTCCTGTGAACCC